TGGTGGTTACTTTTTATGTATGAGGTTTAAAAGTGTTGTTTGACTCCCTGTTGAATTATCAGTGAGGAAACTAAAGTCTGGGCAGTCATTTAACTGCCCCCTGCTATTTCCTGCTTTGCTACTGTGAGTTTTTGCTGCTAGTACAATCTCCTTCCTTAGTTTACCCTGGATGCTGAAGTCTAAATGGAAACTACTATCAATTTCAGCCTTATTTTTTCACACGCATTTCTAACAATAGCATGGTCAAGTTGAGGACGTGAATGACAAAGCTGTGCCAAACATTTGTCATAGCTGAGGCATATGACTTGTTGTAGGTGTGGACTGTAAATGGATTTAAAGTGGACACATTTGTTGGCATTGAGTTTGCTACAAAAGGTGGGAAGTGATATAAAAAAGAGAGAAGGTATTTCTAGTTTTCTAGGCAGGAGTCTGAAACATTTGAGGCTTCACGTTGAGTGATGCATACAGACTACTGAAGACTGGTGTAGTAGTGTGACAGGGAAAATTTGATGTAAGGGTATATGGTCCTAATAGGGTTAGGGAACTTATCAGTGTATACTGAGACCATTTAAAATTGTCAACTGTCTGATTTTGTCATACTGTTTATACCATGGTAAGCTGTTCCATTCGTTTCTCCAGCTTTATTAGGTAATTGTGTGCAAATTAATGAGAAGAACTGTTTCTGTTGATATTGAAGTTTTACATTTTTGCTTTAATGTGACATGGTTCTTTGATTTGCCAACTACAGATATTCCTGTTTGGTTAGTTTATCTACAAACATGTACACTGTATATGTAGAATGAGAGCAGTTAGACTTTGCTCTTGACTTACATGGTGTGATGACAGAGAGAAGTTGAGTTCAGTTTAACTTTGATGATCAAGCCAACAAACTATTATATCCAACCACGTGCTAAATTCATTTTTTAAATGTTGGTGTATTATGAGGAACGCTGATTCTAGAGGCGTATCTTATTCATATGTTGCTAGCAGACGTGATGTGACCAAGCAACTCAATTGAAAAAATAAAATAAAATCAGACAGGTCCTTGTAAGTTCTGGATTTATCAAAAAGCGTTTATTAATAGTCATAGTAATGTCACACAAATTCACAAGTGTTTAAGACATGTCTGGCTCAGTTTGGTGTGTGTGTCTGCAAGTATGTCTGTGTGAATTCTCTAAACAGTGCAGTTATAAATAAATGACCACAAAGAGAAGGAAAAGGGTAAGGTAATATTGCAACAGGAAAAATAGAATTCTCATTTTAAGAAGACAAACAGAAAGAAAAGGTTGTTCAAAGAGAACATTTAGCACCATCTATCCCGTTATCATGTTCAACAGATACCATAAAATCATTAAAATCTCGTCTAAAAGCCCCCTACATGATAAAAAAATTAACATTTCTCAAAACACTTTGGAAAAAGTCATTTTGTTTTTTCCTTAATGAGCATACAAACACAGCATTCCATTAGTCATCTTCTCTACGTGAGCAGTGTGCCTATCGTCTACAGGAAAGGTGGCGTTATATTCAAGATAAAGTTATCATTTAATATATATCAGGAGAAAAAGGCAGGAGTTGAGAGGCAAGCACCAACAAAAACAGCAGCCTCCACTCCTGTGGACACACAACCCCCACATTTCAGTTCTTACAGAGCAATCGGTCACTATAAAAAATAAAGGGAAAAAAAACGCAAACTTGTACAACCCTATTAAAAAAGGGAGAACATTGATATCCAATAAATAGAGGAAACATTTTAAATTAAATGTACAATGCCAAAAAAAAAAATCCAGGAAATACTAATTCTGCATATTGGAACAAAACAATCAGAGGTACAACACACAAACACCAGATGACAATGATTTTTTTCTTTCTTTTTTAAAGAGATAGTTCATTCAGAGATGAAACAGTTGAAATGAACAAAAAGACCTGATGAGTGTCAACTGAATATTAATCTCCAGAGAAAATAAAAGTTTAATTCATACAAACACAAGATTTACAACACATACAAGAATCTTAAAGACGAAATGAATTCCCCCCAAAAACAACCAAAGTCATTAAAACCCGTATGTTTTGAAGCATTCCAAACATTTGTATTTTTTAAAATTCTTAATGCTTTAGAAAAATGTTCATATCTCTATTATTAGTATTTTTCATTTTCTCTCTTTTCTAAATACAAGGCCAATGTGGTATATATCTAGGCTGATCTAGTTTAGAAAAAACAAAACAATAAATTATTTTAAAAAAGACAGCACCCCACAAAAATTGCAAACAGCATGTACAAATTTCAGTATTCAAGACGACAACAGAAAAAAGTTCTCTCTGGTACTGACAGAAACACGCCATTGAAACCATCAACTACCCTCCATAGTTTCTTCAATGGCAGCACCAACTGCCCCCTGGTTCTCAACTTCACTGTTGCCAGGGTTTCTGGTTGAAAGCACCATCTGAGAGTAAACTGGTATGTTATTGGCGGCTTGGTATTTCTTTTTGTAAACAGTAATGATGAGTAAACGTATTCAACTGGCTGTTCGGCAAGTATTAGCAGTAGTAGTAGTAGCAAAAATGATCTTAAATAATGAAAGGGTAAGTTGAAAACCAAAGTGAAACTGTGTCTTTTGTCCTGGCTTGCAGGAGTTTTGGTTATGGCTGAGGAGACGAAGGAGGGGCTCTGTCACCGGGAGGAGGAGGCCTGGTGAGACAAGACACACAAAAGAAACTATTAATGTAACATTTAGTTTTATATCAGGTCAGATGAATGGCATAACAGGCAAGAGCCTCAGAAAGCAGGAGAATGTACGCGTGTACTAACCAGGTTGAAGGAGTCATATGTGTTCATGAGCTCCTCTGTGCGGTACTGCTCCAGCACCACTACGTTGTTCAGGTTTGGGCTACGCTGACGTGCGCAGTCCTCACAGTGAACCACATATGTCTTCCTGCTGTTGCTCTCACTTGTCACAAACAACAAATTGAACACTTCCACCTGTGACAGGAGACAAAAGAATAAGAAACAGAGGGAAATGATTTAAGTAATGTCTTGAAAAAGGTTTTAACTTCAGAAAATTGCCTGTTCTGCTTTTCATCATTTGTGACCACCACTAGCGTAGTCTAAAATACCCTGCATCCTACCCTGGTAGTCATTTTGGAGGCTGTAGTTTGTGGTGGTGTTGAATGGTATTGCATTGTACTTGGGTCTATCTAATTATCAATGAGTAGACTAAATATCAGAAAAACATTGCAATACAATTGACACACAAAACTACAGCCACCAACATGTTTTCTACTCTAAAACTGAACTTTAAGAACCTTGATGAAGGTTGGATTTATTGCAGGATTGTTATATAAGACTGCATTATTTTAGCTATAAACTCTAAACACTCTAAAACTGGCTTATGAGTGTTTAGGACACAGTGAGGGACTTAATGGTTAGAAATGTGTATCACCGGAGCTTAGTTAGTGGCTTTTCTTAAAATGTTATCTTGTGTACTCTCTACGTCTAAAGACACACCCTGTTGTAATGGAGATGCAAATGTGTATGGAAAAACACCACAGGTTGCCAGTTTATTTGGTACAGAGTAACCAATGTGGTTTCATAAAGATTATGTTCAGTAAATCAAAAAAGTTGATTTAACTTTATGGTCATTGTGCTGTTGAAGTGTGTATATACAGTGTTATGCTGAGGTGTTTCTAATATGTAGTTGACCTTCATTAACAAATGGGCAATGCAGAAAATGTTCAACAGACTCCATGACAATACAGTCAACATCAACATTTCTAGCCCCCTGAATGTTAGATCTGTTGCAACTATGTATACGTCTATGATAGAGTTTCATGTTTAGAGTGAGTGTTACTCACGTCACACTCGTTGCAGTAGTAGGCGGGCTCGTCCTTGACCCGACTCTGATAGGAGAGCTTCTTGCCTGTAGCCACTAGTTGGTCCCGCAGGATCTGGATGTGCTTTATGGACTGCAGCAGGCAGTGTCTGGCAGAAAGATAGAGACCAACGTTAGTATGAAATCGTCAACTGTTTAGGATTTGTTTTCTGTTAACACTGTTATGTACTTAAAAATGCAATATAATGGAACAGTGCAATAAATCCTGCTGTAGTGCAGTTTTGTCACCTTGATGGAGGTAAGAGTTATTGCAGGGCTGTTCATTAGTTTTAGCTAGGTGTATCTAATTAACTGGCAGAGTGTAGTTTGTACTCACTTAATCATCTTGTAGGTGTCTGGGTCGGTGATCTTTACAGTGCGGGCCACGTTCCAGGACACATGAATCATGGGGACGATGGATTTGACCTTCTTGACTTCGTTCCACTCAAACCTCTCCATGGCCAGCTGGTACTGGTAAGCTGCAGATACACAAAACACCAACTTACTAAATGTTCTTACTATTGTTGAAGTAATCTGCGTTCGGTCACTAGAGGGTGCACTCCTTACCACTGAGAGGTCCGACGTTCCAGGCGATGTTGTTGCACCAGCCAACAGCCTGAACCCAGTGAACAGTTCCAGCGTTGATCCACACCAGGTCTCCAGGTCGCTGGATGAAGCGGTACACAGGGATGTTGGCTTTGTACAGGTCCTCCAACACTGGCCACCAAGACCCTGTAAGGTAGTCCACTCCATGCCTGAGCACATAAGAGGAAGAAGTTGTGTTAGAGCGAAGCATCTTAAATAAAGCCTCTGTAAATGTAACCTGAGTGATATAAGCTTGTCTACTCACTTTTCACAGAAGTCACTGATGGCGTGCCAGTAGTTCTCATGGACGGAGAACCACTCACAGTCTCCAGGGCCGATGTTGATATTCACTGAGCAAAAGTTATTGTTCTCCTGGTGACCTGTTGAATAAGGACAGAATATCTTCAATCATATACAATGGTATTTTCATTTAGGTAGTATAGTTGTTTAACTAAAGGTGTCTTCCACCCATTACAGGCAGAAAGTCAGTATCCTTTACCTGGCGTTCGGCTCCCTGGAACCTTCATGTAGAGCTGGACAGTGTTCATGCCCAGGATGGTGTGTCCAACATGGCTCAGCATGTTTCCACTGGATGCTACACGCATAAATGCTGGCAGCTTCTGCAACTCCTGAAGCTGGGGCTTCCACCTGAGCAGAAACAGCAGGTTAGAACTTTGGCTTTAACAATGTCGCCGGATTAGCTGCAGTGAATATGTATAAATGAGTACAAAGGTCCTTCCTACCATAAGTAGTAACCCAAACCATTGACCTTTAGCTTAACATAAGATGGTAGCTAGCATGCTGCCTTTGATTTACTTGGTTATGGTTATATGCATACAGTACAATTAACCCAAATAGGTTAATAGCAATGGGTTCAATGTATTAACCCCCCCAAAAAAGAAAAAAACTCCCATATTTTAAAAAATAAATGTTGGCAGGTATGTAGTAGCCTATGCTGATTACTGTGTGTGTGCATGTCATTGACGAATATAGGGAGAACATTAAATCAGGTTGTTTAGCAAGATGTTTCTTTTCAACTACATGTAAGTTCCCTGTTATAGACTAACACGCAATATTAAAAATATCCAGTTTAGTCTCATTAATTCCCCTTTATTCCCATGAAAAGTTTCAAAAAAATTCCCAGAATTTTGCAACCCTAGTCATGACCACTAGAGACCACCATATATATTGCTCACCTTTTGGGATCTGAGAGATCAATGTTGGTGCCAAATTTAATTATCTTCCCCACTGGTTTCTGCTCAGCACTGAGGAAGAGGAAAATATACAGAATTAACACAAATCACACAACACTTCAGTGTTTTAGTAAACCGTTTGCTCTTGTAACATCAGCTTTACCTGCTACTTTCTTTAGAGCTGTCTTTGATGAGAGTGTCAGAACTAATGGATGGCTTCTTCTCCTTCTCATCATCGTCTTCATCTTCCTCGTCACTGCCTTTCTCCTCCTGAAGACAACATGTTTATCAGCTGGATTGCAACGCAGAAATGTTGAAGTCTACTTGACAAAACCATTCAACTGAAATATACAGTGTATGACAGTGGTTCCCAACCCTTTTCCTAGAGGCTGATTTTCTATCATTTAGTAAACTGGTAAGTCTTGACTAGGTGATGTATTTTGTGGATATTTCATATTCAAAACTGTACAATGAACCCAGATAGTGAACTCAGTAACTGCAGGAAGTTTGTGTAAAATGAGTGATCCTGTCCCAGGTGCTTTGCCCTTGTTCTATTAATTTCTTTATAGAAGTGAACCAAAGGCTGAGATATAGGCCTACTGTGTATATTTTTTGTATGTTTTCTTACACCCCTTTTAAATAATGAAGGCCTCTCAACCTCCAGGTTGGGAACCCCAGTATGAGACTGTAGAAACAGTGACAGCAGTTGAACATGTTTACCTGCAGACTCTCCTGGAAGCTGGAGGCCTGGTACTGGGCGTACTTGGCGATGGTGGTGTGCGAGCGGCTGCTCTCACAGGGCCACGTCTGACCTGTCCCACTGGGGTCCCAGTTCTCATCAGCAGGCTGCTGCACCTGTGTCCTAACCTCCACCGCCTGCTCTGCATTAGCTTCCACCAGTGACTTTGTAGAAAACAGTCCCAGGTCTAAAATAAAACGAGGGGAAACATTAGGCACATACTTTTGAGATTAAACGGTAGAACAGCAATGATGATGATCCAAATACAGAAAGTATTGCATGTAAAGAAAATGAATGTGTTACAGGGACTGTACACTTACTGAGTCGTAGAGATCCAGCCAGGCCTCTGATGACAGTAACAGGATTCTTGGGATCTGTACAGAACTGCAGCAGCACAGGGGAGAAGGCATCCCTCTTGCTTTCCAACTATACAGAATAAAAATCACAACGGTGCACATTAACACAAACTGTTTGAGCTCATTTGTCTTCATACACAATGAATAACCACAAGAGGGCAGCACAGGCTGTACACTCGGTGTACACTACATAATAAGCCAATTTGTTCTGTTGCTTTGAAGAATGTATTATTTGTGTGCTTTCTCATTAAACATTCAAATTGGTTTATGATTTGGCTACATATTACCATATGTGTCAAATGATATGCCAAATACTGACAGAAAGATAGTATATGTAGAAAATGTAGTGGACAGTGACGTACATAGATGCTGGGTGTAGGAGGGTTGAGTTTCTCTCTAGGAATGGGTTCATCTGCACTCATGATGGGCTTGACAGAGAAGGCTGGGAGCAAATAAGATTCTCTGAACTTCCCTTTCACTCTGGAACCCCTAGAACAGGAAAGAGAACATGTTGACAGATGTAAACATGAATGTACAAAACATTTACTTTTCTTGGCTCAACATAACTGCCTTTTAAAATGCTTCTACATTGGTCATAGTAATACATGAGAGGTGATTTAAACTCTGTAGTTTTAGGAAAATATCAATGAATCCCTGAGAGATGAAAAGAATTGTGAGAAAAGTGATAAAGTCATCGACAGTGCACTTACTTGCAGGACCTGATGATTTCACTGGCCGTGTTCTTGATGCTAATTTCCTCCAGTGGGATCCTCTTTTCCTCCACCTCAGAGGCGATAAATGTCTCCCTGTCCCCGCTCTCCACTTTGATCAGGCGAATCTTCAGCTCCTTGGGTGGCCCATCTGACAGGGCCTTTAGTTTCAAGAAGTCCATTGAGCCCAATGAAGAACCAGATTCCGAGCCTTTTTTGTGCTTCGAAGAACATTCTGCATGCTCCCCTTCACTAGTGGAGCTGTCCCCGGACGCATCCTTGCGTTTCTTTTTTTCTGAGTCATAATGACTGCGATTCTTCTCAGACCCCTCCTTGCTCTGGAGGTTGAGGTCACCAAGAATTCTGCGATCCTTCTTCTCCTTATGGCTCTTGCCATCCTTGTGCCGCTTGTGGCTGGAGCTGGAATGAGTGGAAGACGATGATGATGAGGATGATGATGAGGATGATGATGATGATGATGATGATGATGATGATGATGATGAAGAGGAGGAGAAGACCATTTCCTCTCTCTTTTCTCTATGCTTCTTTTCTTTCCTGTCTTCATGCTTCCTGCTGCTACTGTGGCCGTGCTTTCTCTTCTTCTCTTTCTCCCTCTCCCTCTCTCTGTCTCTGTGTCTGTCTTTCTCTCTGCGTTCCTTTACTTTCTCAGGTTTGTGTCTGTCCACTATGCCATGGCTGTCAAGTTTATCAAGGGAGTTCTTGTTAGGAAGTGACTGTCGACTAAGCATGACCTCGCAGCTCTTGCCCAGTTCTTCCAGAGATGACTCAGAGATGGTCGTCAGCAGTTGCTCCTCCTTTACCACTTTAATAGGATTTGTGGTAGAAATACTCTCCTTTTTGGTAGAGTTCATTCTTTCCTCTGTTGTTTCTCCATCATCTCCCCAGACATCATAGTCCTCTATTTTCAGTTTCTTGTCCTCTAGCAGAGGAGGAGAGGACTTGAGAGGTGGGAGAGCTGGACTGAATGGTGGATTGGTTGAATCTGACGTGGGAGAGCTGCCTTGCTGCTGGCGGCAGATGTCAGGGCCCAGTGACAGCGAAGAGGAATATTTGACGCCAACCAGCGCTGATGGAGGGGGTCTCCCAAAGGGCCCACCACGGTAGGCATACTTCTGGCTCTCCAGGACTGTTGCAAGGGATTTGAATGTGCTGTTTACACCTGTTTGGTGGAGGTGGGGTCTTTGGGGTGGTGGAGAGCAAGATGGGGTCTCAGAATCGTCTTCATCATCCTCCTCGTCAGCCTCACTTTTAGTCTGCTCAGGGAGGCCATAAAGTTTAGCCAGGTCACTGTGGCGGTAATTGGTGTTCCCTACTCCCATTCCAATGTCCATTGACTGTTTAGGGTTGAGAGGGACGATTGGAGAGGGTTTAAGGTAGTCCTCATCCTCCTCGTTGAGAGAAGATGTTCGGCTGCATGGGGATGCCAGAGAGCCTTGGCGGCTGAGCACAGGAGGGCTAGCATGTGGATTGGATCCAAAGTCTTCCTGGTTGGGCTTTGTCGCTGGAATGAGGTCTGGGGCACACAGGTAGCTCTTGATGGGCTGGTCACTAGGAGAAAAGCCAGTCTTTTCACTGTTATACATCTCCTCTTCCTTTTTGATAGATTCATCCAGCATGGCCATGATATTAGCCAGACCATCACGGAGCAGTGTGGACATCTCGGAGGGCTCCTCCTCAAACTGAGCGCTGTCAGAGTCAGCGCCACAGTTGCTGGCATTTTCCAGGCCACTTCCTGTCACCTGCTTGTTGAGGATTCCCCTTGTGGAGCTGGAGGTGGAGGATAAAGTTGGTGGTGGAAGGTTTTCTCTGGGAAAAGCCTGATACAGTTTGGGGGGCTCTCTAAGTGCCAAGGTAGGGAGAGAGTGTTGGCTGCTGTCTCTCTCCCTGGCTGAGTCTTTGGATTGGTTGGGTGCGGCCTGCATTGCCGGGGGCTTGTTAGGGTACACCGACTGATTCATCCCTGAGGTACTGTGTGTCGATGAGGGACTGAAAGTCGTTCCACCATTGTTGCCACACATCTCCCTCTGCCTCTGCTTTTCTCTGGCGTACTCAGTCTGAGGTGTTAGAGGGGGGGGACGCAGCCTTTCTACAGGAGTAATAGTAGTGGGTGTCTGGCCTGGTGGACAGGGGAGTATGCCACCACGGCTTAGCCAGGGGTAGGGGGGTGAAGCCTGGGAGCTGGGGGGTGGTGGACCTGAAGGAGGAGCAGTAACAGAAGAGAGGCGAGGAGGAGGTGGTGGTGTTTGGGAAGAGTTGCTGGAGAACAGTCTCTCCAGATTTTCAATAGCTCTTTTAGTTTGCTCCTTGTCCTTTGCACTACACAGTTCCTCCTCCCGCTTTCGTTCCATCCTCTTTTTCTCCTCCTCTCTCCTCGCCAACTCTCTTTGTTTTTTCCTCTCTTCCTCCTGCCTCTCCAGTTCTCTCTTCTTTCTCTCCTGCTCCTGCCTCTCTGCCTCCCTCTTCTTCCTCTCCTCCTCTTGCCTCTCCCACTCTCTCCTCTTCCTTTCCCGCTCCTTCTTCTCCCACTCTCTCTTTTTCCTCTCCTCCTCCTGCCTCTCCCATTCTCTCTTTTTCCTCTCCTCCTCCAGCCTTTCTGCTTCTCTCCTTCTCCTCTCCTCTTCTTGTCTCTTTTTTCTCTCCTGCTCCTGCCTCTCCCACTCTCTCCTTCTCCTCTCCTCCTCCTGTCTATCCAGTTCTCTCTTTTTCCTCTCCTCCTCCCTCTTTTCCAGCTCCTTCCTCTTCCTCTCCTCATCCCTCTTTTGTCTCATCTCCCATTCTTTCTTCCGCCTCTCCTCCTCTCTCATTTTCCTCTCACGCTCCTCTCGGTCCCTCTTCTTCCTTTCCTCAGCTTGCATATGACCCTCTAGCTCTGCATCAAGCTTGTCTAGAGCCTCTTCGATGGACTGAGGGCCAGAAGTTGGAGCTGGTGGACGAATCTGGGGCTGAGAGTACGCCTGTGTTGAGTCTGGCTGATGACGCAGTCTGGAGGAGAGGGCTGGATTGGATGGCTGAGGGGCGGAGTTGACAGCGGAGCGAGGAGCTGGGCAGTATGTAGTGGGAGAGCTAGGGAGAGGATTTGAAACTCTGCTTGTAATCACACTGTCCCCGGCCCTCTGATGCCCTGAGGAGAACAAAGATGATGATGAGGAAAATGCAGGAGGTTGCTCCAGGTCAGCCTGAGCATAGTATGACATCTTCCCCTTCATAGGGTGGGACTTGGTGGATCCCTGTTGTTGTGGTCTGGGTAGTCCCTGTTGGTGAGGCTGGCTGGCAGGTGCAGTGTGGCCTCTCTGAAATCCTGGCTGCAGCAGAGCATCCAGCTGAGAGGTGGAGCTAGCGATGGTGGAGGTTTGGGTGACTGGCTCTCTACCTCTCTGCCAACTGTTATTACTGCTGCCATTGTTCACGGGGCAACCAGCAGGGGGTGATGTGGTTAACGTCGAGACACCAGCCATAGGTCCTCTTGAGCTGCCGCTATAGCCACCGATGGAGCAGGAGGCCTGGGATATGGGAAGATTGGGGGTGATGACAGGTGTTCGAGTGGAGTTGGTTGGGGGGAGAGGAGGGCTGACATGACGGTGATGCTGGGAGGGAGCTGGAACCTGACTATCCACGACCTGATTGTGGCTCTGCTGGCGCTGAGGTAGCAGTCCTGGAGGCCTGTAGATACCAGACTCCTGAAGAGACACATACAGAACAATTTATAATTCATTCATTTGATAATGATGACTATGTGCAGTTGGGTTAACAGTTCAACTGTAAGCCTGTTAATTAAATTCAAAACACCTGCTACATTCGATTGAATGACCATAACTGCAGAAGAACAGACTGATACAAACGAACCATTGCATAAATGACTTGTACTCACTAGGGAGTGACTGCTGGGCCTGCTCTGGTACTTCCAGGGCTCATAGATCCCACTTTGCTGTTGCTGAGGTACTGAGGTGCTGCTGGCAGGAGGAGGTGGACCCTGGTGCCCCAGTCCTGGATGAGGCTGGAAGTGGCTGTAAGGCACACTACTGTTGCTGCTGTTGTTGTTGTTGTTGCTGCTGGTTGCAGGAGGGTTTGCTGGTGACAACTGAGCATGTAGGTGTTGATCTCTGTCTCCCCTTGTTGGGGTAGATGCAGTGTGAGAGGTAGCTTGGCTGCCACCTTGGCCCCCAATGAGAGGGCCTCTCTGGTTGTGAGGACCATGACGCTCCATGGCCTGGCAGGGTGGAGCTAGCCCCAATTTGGGGCTGGGGTAGGAGGAGTGAGGGGACTGCTGGTTTACAGCCTGAGATTGGAATGTGTCTTTCTGGAGCTGAGGAGAACATCCCTGGTTGTAGCTTCCCGGAGAGGAGTTTGGTGGTGGGGAGAGGTTTGAAGGGGTGG